CAAAGCTAGTTTGACAGACATGGGGGATCTGAGATCCGGGTTCCAAGTTCCAAGCGGTAGTTACAAATTTAGCCCCCATCAGCGGGAAGTGGAAAGGGACAGACCCTGGCATAGGGATTCCCCCTTGAATTTTTTACTCTTTTTTCTCCAATACTATTCACTTAATTTTAAAAATCACTCAGGTATTGCCCTGCCATCAAAAACAACGTGCAAAAACACTCCAAAGCCAATATGAGAGCAGAGGGGCGAGAAGGCTCCCTGGCTGTGGATGGCTCTTTTCTGGAGTCTGTTAATACTGCACATGAGAGAGCATATGATGGTGGCAATGTGAAGGCATTTCATCCCCATAACAATAAGCTATCTGGCCCCTTAGCCTTTCCAAGCACTTACTGCCTTGAGGAGGGGGGGACTTGAATCAAGCCACTGCTAAAGCTAATACCTTTCCTCTCAGTTAAGAAAACCAAGGGAGAGCACCTCCCTTGTGCTGCCAGCCCAGTCTGGGGCCTGTTCAGATACTTACTCCCACTCCTTGCGTCTTGCCTGCGGTGTGCTCTGCATCTTGTGAGCCTCGTGGGCCTTGATGATGTCCCGCTGTTCGATCAACCCGCCCCTCCGGCGCTTGATGACATCAGGGCTCACTGGAATATACTGGCTCAGCCCTAGGTCGAACGTGCTGCCTCCCTCAAAGCCCAAGCTCCCTTCTCCCTCCCGGGATCGCAGCTCATAGAGGGCATCAAAACTGGCGGTGCGGGAGACCAGAGCCTCTGTCAGGCTCTCGGGCTCTAGCAGGTTGCAGGACTGGGTGGTTTGCATCAGGCCTAGCCGGTGCTTGCGCCATGTCTCTTCCTCTGGGAGGGCCAGGACATAGCGCTGGGAGTCGGTGTCTAGCTCGGTAACCCCACCGGTCGTGAAGGAGCTGGTCTCGGAGAGTGTGTGAGCACTGGCAGTGCACGGCCCGAGTCCAAGCATCTTGGGTGCTGTTGTAGTACATCACTCTAGAGAAGGCATGAGACAGACAAGGGAAGTTAGTGAACTCCACCCCAGGTGAGAAATAACATGGATGCTGCAGGGAACAGTGCAACCCCAATATTTCCCTTTGCTCTCTACTTTGGAAGGCCCCAGGCCCAGCTGACCCCTCCTTCCACTGCAGTGAGAGCTGAGTATGACACTCCTTGGAGCCTGTAAACCAGCCCAAGCTGGCTCACGGGGCTCTTAGGAAAGATAAGCAATGCTCCTCCCCAATGGCAACATGCCCATGCCCACAAGCCTGGGAAGAAGATGACAGGAGCCTGGATCCCCCAGAGAGCTTTGTCTTATGCCACTGCAAGGGAGTTTAATGAATAGCAATTCATCTCCACCTGTCTCAGCTTGATAGGGACAAGGTAGAGGAGAGCTGCTTTGTCCCCACCAGCATCCCTCTTACACAGATAAACCCACCTCCTCATTTTCTCCCGAATTCCTTCACCTGGAGGGAGAACAGCAAAGCCCAGGGTTAGAGGCAGCCTGATTAACCAAACCTCCCTAGTGTACTGGATTAGCCTTGCCTTTTGAACTGAGCCATAAAGGAGATATTTCTTCTTGGGCATGAACTTTTTGAATGGAAGGAAGCTGTAAACTTGCCCCAACTTCCTCCCTTTATAAGGCTGCCTGTTATGGATGTTGAACAAACTTCCATCAGGCTGCAAATCCCATCTGTGACAGTAGGTGGCACTGTACCCTAGCTAGAAAACCAGTCTCAGTGCACAGCTTAATTGGGCTGGCTCCTGCTAGGGGTCCTTCAACCTGTGGTGATTTACAATACTATTAAAATCATCATGTTGCCTGTTACTGCCAGTGGCACCAGTCAAAATACTTTCTTCTTAAGAGAGGTGCATAGCCCATGCAGATGATTAGCATTTGGGAGGATTTAACACACTAATTTTTTGATGTAGGTGTCTGAGCAGTCAGGATAGTGAGCTCAGGCCCCTTTGGGGATGCAAAGGCCTTTTATCAGGAACTTGCCAGTGTTTCTGCAAGCAACAGTTAGCAAAAGCAGTACTACAGAGAACCACTGTGAGGGAGCACTAGTCCTTCAGAAATCCCCCAAGTGACAGCAGGCCAGACAAACCTGCCTGGCAGCTCCAGAGTCCCCATTACAGCTTCACATCCCAAAAGAAGATGGTCTGGGTGAAGCAGCCTGTGCCACATTGAAGTACAAATCAGCAAGCTAAAGAGACCCCCGCACACTTCTGCAAGCAATTAGGGAGCACTGTTTGGAAAGGCAGCTTATAAATGCTTTAACAAATACATTTCTTGATCTGTTGGCAAAGGAAGACAATGAATCCATGACTAAAGTGAGGGACTGGATTAGAAGCAAGTTACAAACATGCAGTGAGACTGACTCTGGTCAACATGTCAGCTCTAGTTCCCAGTCATCTGGTGTCAGGCTTTTCCAGTATGCTCAGAAACCTGTCAACAGTGTGCAGAGGGTTGGCAAAGGGGCTGGCCAAGGAGGAAGACTTGGGCAGAGTGGAGGGGAAAAGCCCTACTCAGGGTCCTGGCTGCCATGTAGGAGTCCAGCTGAGGGGGCTGGGGTCGGGTGCAGGGGAGGAAAGGGGGTCCCTACCCCTGAAGTCTCGCCTCCACACCCAGGGTGACTCTACTGCCCTCCCACAGGCCTCTGTGAGACCACTGCCTCAACTGCATCTCCTGAGTAACCTCAGGAGGGCAATTTTCAGCAGAAAACAGGCACTCTTAGTTTTCCAGCTGCCATCCAAATCTATAGATTTCTGGCCACAGATAACTCAAATGTTCCCAGACATCTGACATTTGATCAGGCGCAGTTTTCAAAAAGAACTGCAGCACACGCAAGCAGCAAATTGCCATCAAGTTCATGTGCAAGCAATTCCCAAAGCTGCCCTTTGAACATATAAAGAGGCAAGCTCTTGGATCCACAACCAACCATTCATGAGGAAGCTAAACTCCATTTGGAAATAGCAGCATGGCCACACAGAGAGGACAAAGGAGAATACGAAAAATGAAGGTTGCCAACAGGTTAGAACCCCTGTTAGCAACTAGCAGAAGAACTCATGTGCACAGAGCTCCTACATAAGAGGCGGCACTTCCTATCAGATGCTAGTCAGCTTAAGAGCTAACCCCAAAAGGACTTAGGAGAAGTGACCATCTGATCAGGTAGAGAGAGAATCTTCCAGATTGCATATCACGCCTGATCTGGAATCAAGGTAATATGAAGCCCAGTCACTACGCACAGATACATGCAACAGTAAAGGAAAGCTGGGGAGACCATGCATGAACACGTTATGCTACCAATATGCAGTCAGCACTGTCATTTAGCACAGCTCTGCCTCAAGCAGATCCAAAAGGAAAATTCTGGGTAACTGATAAGCAGTTGCAGCTGGTGAGCAATTAGCACATAAACCAATATTATTACTAGATACCATTTCCACCAACTGTTACAAGGGCTGTGGCCAAAGGCTGTAAAGCAGCCCTTGCGGAAAGCAATCTAGAGGTAGACAGGGCAGAAGCCTCTGTAAAAGGGGAGGACACTAAATAATTAGAAGAGCTGGGCTTCTAGCATGCCAACCAGCTCCAGGGTAATAAAAACCTGTGAATGTGTTTGTGATGCACACAGCAGCAGATTTTTCTTGGGGAACGTGCTGCTGGGATACTGAGGTGTACCAGGAACAGTAAAAAACAGCCCTTTGTAAGAGGATGGACTTTCTGAGCAATGCACTCCACCGTGGGCATTCCCAACAGTGACTGTTAAGAAGTCTCATGGAGATGCAAGGATATGTGCAGATAATAGGTGACAACTGGCAGACAGTTTAAGATATGTGTTTCCTGCCTAATCCCTGATACCCTGGATAATGGCAGGAACAACACATTGTAACAGTTTTAAGTTGGGTTTCAAATAGCAGCGGAAGACCCAGGAATAGGCCTTTGGGATACACTGCAAGCTGTTTCATTATTAGTGAATAAAGGTCTTTATAGGCTCTGAACTCCCAAATGCCAGACCACCCATTAAAGGAAGCTAAGCATAAAGATATGCTGGTGGATTTGCTCTTGAGCGGGCTGATGATCTTGATGAACTCGCAGTGATTTCTGGGAGCTGCCAACTGACGTATAAAAGAGACCAAATATGACCTTGTTAGGTCCCTTCCAGTTCTACTTACCTGTGAATCACTAGAGTATCTGCCTGCTCAGTCTTATAAGGGGCATCAGTCAAAGCTCAGAAAGAATACAGGACTCCACACTATCTCCCTGGAAGACAGTCCCAAGGGGTGCTTATGACATGAATGTTAGAATACACAAGCAGAATGCATTCCTCACCTGCATGGAGCAGCATAGCTGCAGATATACTTAGCCAGGCAGATGCAACGAGAAGACCCTCTAATTAGTCTTGCTCAGACATCTTAAAAGAATCATCTAGGTACCCCTAGGTCCTTTTCAGTAATTCAGCACGATGGCTTAGAAGTGTCCTATTTCAGTAATTCTGCTAGAGATGACTTAGAAATGGAAGAGCTCACAGCTCCCACAGATCCTGATACCAGTTTATGCGGGAGGGGAATAGGATTCACTGCCAGGTGGCTTACAGAAAAGAGTTCCAAAATAGTCTCATGGGAATGGAGTAGGAGGTCACAGGACTTTTGATCAGCTTGTCAGATATACCGTAAATTTGCAGAACATGCTCAACAGTGTGTCAAAGAAAAAAAAGTTATGACAGGAGAAACTACCAGGAATTCTTCTGGATCCTAACTTGTTATATTGTTTGATACAGCCTGGAAGACATCAGTTCAATATGTAGAATAAACATGTGCAACCTAATGACTTGGATCCAATTGTCAAGAGGTATCAGGACAAAACATTTCCTCTGTGTCTATATCGAAGCAGCAACATCGACTTCAAGAGATGCACCAATCAACACCAGCAGAGAATTTAGCACTCTGAATGACTGCATCCAAAGACACATTCACCAGTCTATGTAGACAGAGGAACAGTAGGCTCCTATGATATGTTGAATATTTTTTCTACTACTTAATAAAACAGCGAGAAGTTAAAGACGTGCACTCTGGGCTGCAGGCAGTATGGCTGATCGAAAGAGAGGAAGTACCTGTTAAGGAGTTTCTCTGCTATCTCACTGTCTGTGTGTTAGTAATATCAATCAAATCTTTATCCAAATAACCATGTATTACCATAATAATAATAATAATAATAATAATGAGTACTTAGGTAGCAATCTTCATAATCAAAGCACTCTGCAACTATTATCTAAATAGCACTCAACACAGCCCAGTGAGTTAAAGAAATAAATGTGAGAGACTGCATTGGCCACACAGGATTTGATTCTTCTCTAGCTGGCTCATCTACTGACTCAAATAGTGCTATGCTACATAAGTAGGAAGGTGCTCTCTCTCTCAGAATATCCAGCTGATTAAATAGCAATGGGTAACTGACCACCAACAGCACTGCTGGATCAAGCCAAAAACATTGTGTAAAATCTACTCCATATTTGTTCTCTCTTTCAACCTCTGCATGCTACCCTAAGCCACAGCTCAGATGTACACAGCCTAAGGAGGTGGGTCCTTAAAACTGGAACACTTGTCCCCTTTCATTCTATCCCTAAGGGCAGACATGGCCAGGATGGGCTATCAGCCACAGATACACAGGCAGCACAAGGGCTGGGCAAGCCAATGTTTCTCAGATTGGATGCCAGTCATTTCTACCATGAAACAATAGACTGACAATGTACGCCACAGACAAACCACTGCCACCACCCACCAGAAGCAGTATTACAGAATGCAGTGCTCTCAGGGCCAGACAAGGGCAGCAATATGGATGTGGGGAGGAGGTTTCAGCTGGCCTTGCTGCAAGAACATAAAGCACTCAGACACTTTCCTTCACTGAACCCTGACCTCTGATTAATCAACAAGCCATACAGAGACAGGGGAGGGACGTCCATTCTGACAGTG